GGCGAACCGCCGACGCCCCACCACAGGGGGAGCCCGTGACCAAAAAAAAATCTAGGAACAATGTCGAACGAGTATGGCAACCCGGGGCCCGACACGTAAAAATCCTCCAGTGACGGTACTTCCTTGGTGCTCGAAAGTCTTTCTGGTGATCAAGGCTAGAATAGGTTGGAACATCATAAGCCAAACAATACTCACACATAATCAAGTACAGTTGAACAAATCGTCCCCTGACTATTGTTTGACGGTTCTGGGATATTCCTCCTGTGGAGGGCTACTCCAGATCTCGTAATAAAAGGGATGGGGGTCTGGACCCTCCAAGACAAGCCATTTCAGACCTCCCCCGTGGGAGAACCCTCCAAAACATCGTCCCCAGACCCCCCCAGGCCCTCCAAGATAGCCTGGAAGAGACGCCCCCCGAAATGAGACCCCCCTCTCTTTATGACGAAATCTGGAGTATGCCCGACTGACGATTTGCCCGCTGGTTCCTGCCAAGGCGCCGATCGCTCAGCCTTGATCCACCTCGGCCTCCCGATCGCGCAGGGCGTGCGTCGGCGGCGAGCGGGGGCGGGGAAGCAAGAAGGTGGAGGCCTTCTCAGCAGGCGGCGGGACCTCTCGGAAGGCCTCGGGCCTTCTGAGAAGTTGCTTGTGCCGTCGGGGAGGGCTTAGACAACTTCTCAGAAGGCCCGGGGACCCACGATTAAGTCGGGCGCGTCCCCTACAGGGGGATGTTCGACGAAAAAAAAACTACAAACATACTCCAAAATGGCAAACAAAAATGCTCAAAAAATAGTCCCCCAATTATTGGTGGACTATTTTTGAACATTCCCCCTGTAGAGGGACAGGCCCGACTTAAACCTACGAGCCTTCTGGGGAGACTTCCCACCCTCGCTCGCCGCCGAGTCCGACATCGACCGAGTCCGCGCCACTGGCGGCGTTCAGCCTCGAGCGCCCGCGCCGGGGCCACAGCGCCGCCAGCACAGCGCGAGAGAACCTGGCGTCGAGCTCCAGATCCGCTGTCCTCCACGGCCCCATTTTCCTCAGTGACTCCGAGGGGTAACGACAGGGGGGGACTGGCATGGGGGGGGGATGCATCGACCTGGGATCGACGATACATCGCCGATGGATCGGCGACAGGCCCTCGATAGTGAGTCCGCACCTTCCTGGGCGGGTTGGGGCTATGAGACCCCTATCGGCGATCAATGAACGATTGGGGGTCGATGCATCCCCCCTATGCCGATGCCCCCCTATCGTTGCCCCCGAATCTCAGAACAGGGCTGGGCTGGACCTAAACGCTGTTTTTCGTTGTGGATTCGTTTTGTGCTTCGTTGTGCTCTGCCTGTTCTCCTCTACCTCCCTGCCACAACCAAAAAAAAAACCCAGCCGACGTCCAGCAAAACAGCATTTAGGTCCAGCCCTACTCCGAAGGCTTGTCCGAGAGCGCCCCGCCAGACCTGCCGGCCAGCACTCCGGGGGGGGGGGAGTCCGGTCGTGGTGGCGAGCCTCCTGGAGGCCAGAATAATACCAGAGAAAGAGAGAGAGAGAGAGAGAGAGTGCGAGAGAGAAAGAAAGAGACACGAAGAAGATAGATGAGTCGATCCTCGATCCGCGCCCCTTCCTAGTGAGAACGTTTGCCTGCAGCTCGAGCGGACACGAAACGGGGGGAGTGGGGGAGGAAGCTGGGGCAACCATCTCCGCACCGCGCGCTACGCGAAGCGCGTTTCTCTTCGCGGTTTGGGCGCGAATTAATGGGGGCCGATCAGTGGGTTGGAAGAAAGGTGCCCTGCTCGGTCTGTAAAAGACCTCCTTCTGGGCTCGAAAAGGCCCCTTAGGGGCCCTCCCTTTTTCGGCAGCCCTCGCCGCCCCCTCATTTCCTCGCCCCCCCACATTGCGCTCAAGTCGGGCCTGTCCCTCTACAGGAGGCATATTCAAAGATAGTCCAAAAATATGGGGGCGATTATTTGACTAATTGTTTCAACCGTTCTGGAATATGTTCAGACTACATTTGATGTTTCGTCCAAAATCCGCCGACCCCTTGGGGATCATCGGCGTGTGAGATGCTTCCCCCTCCCCAAACCCCTCCCCCGGGAACCCGGTCCGGTCGATTTGGAGGGGGGGGGGGGGGTCCGGGACGAGCGCTCCACGGGGCTTTTCCTGGCCCAAGAGGGCTTCAAGACGGGCCACGAAGCCCCCAAGAGGCCTCCAAGACGGCCCACGAAGGCTCCGAGAAGCCAAACGACCGCTCCAAGACGCCCACGATGGCCCCAAGACGGGCCAAGAGGTCTCCAAGACGGCCCCTGAGGTCCCAAATGAGCCTCCCAAGAGGGCCCAAAGAGTCAAACATTGCTGATTTTCCAGTGTTTTTCGATGTTTTTTGCTTTTCCGCCTTTCCGGCTTCCCGGCGCTCCAAGACGGGCAAAGAGGCCCCAAAGATAGCCCCAAGATGGCCCAAGAGGCCCCCAAGACGGCCTCCAGACGGCCCAAGACGGCCCCAAGACGGCCC